CATAACTTTCTATTAATGTGCTTTGATACAGCACTTTGGGAACATCCAACTTATTTTGCAATTACCTTTTGAGGCTTTCCCTCCTTATGGAGGGTGTCAATTATGGTTTTCTGCACAACTGTCAGGTCAGCAGTCTTTCCCATGATTGTGATTCCTACTGAACCAGACTGAGAGACCATTTAAAGGCTCAGGAACCCTTTGCAGGTCTTTTAAGTTGCATTAGTGAAATAAATTAACTTTGCGCGATATTCTAATTATTCGAGTTTCACCTGTAGTTAACATGCCATATCCTCAATCATGTACACACACTCAGCGATCACTGATCGCTGAGTGTGTGTACCTTGCTTTTCTCTCTGACACCCTGTCACAGGAGGCTGATCGAGCGGTGTAGAGAGGAAAACCCGCCTCCTGTGACAGCGCTGTCTCCGCCCCACACCCCTCTGCCAGACTGTGATAGGCGGCTGAGCGGTGTGGGAGGAGAGACGCCGGCCGCTCACAGCGCTCTCGTCCGGCAGCGCTCGGCCAGCTGTCACTTCTCTCCCCGCTGGAACACAGAGCAGCGCCCAGCGGGGAGGAAAGAAACCAGGGATGCGCCGATGTGTCGGCCGAAACATAGCTCTTTCAGCATTATGCCAAAAGTGCCATTTTTGGCCGATATGTTTCGGCCGCCGATATATTGGTGCATCCCTATAAAATACCCAAGGGTCTAAACTTATTGGAGATCCTCGTGTTAAAGGAAACCATTTCAGTAACCTGTAACCATTTCTGGAGAAGATTCACAGATCACACTGTGTATATGTTGCCAGATATGTAGCTTTGTTCCAGTTTTCGAAAGCTGTACTTCTTCTCTTTGCACAGTTTAACATCATGGAATTTCTGCATTATTTACCCCAAGTACATATACACTATATTGCCAAACGTATTGGGACACCCCTCCAAATCATTGGATTCAGGTGTTCCAATCACCTCCATGGCCACAGGTGTATAAAATCAAGTACCTAGGCATGCAGACTGCTTCTAAAAACATTTGTGGAAGAATGGGTCGCTCTCAGGAGCTTAGTGAATTCAAGCGCGGTACCGTGATAGGTTGCCACCTGTGCAATAAGTCCATCCGTGAAATTTCGTTGCAACTAAATATTCCACGTTCAACTGTTAGTGGTATTATAACAAAGTGGAAGCAACTGGGAACAACAGCAACTCAGCCACGAATTGGTAGGCCACGTAAAATGACAGAGCGAGGTCAGCGCATGCTGAAGCGCACAGTGCGCAGAAGTCAACAACTGTCTGCAGAGTCAATAGCTACAGACCTCCAAACTTCATGTGGCCTTCAGATTGGTCCACCAACATTGCGTAGAGAGCTTCATGGAATGGGTTTCCATGGGCGAGCAGCTGCATCCAAACCTTACATCACCAAGTGCAATGCAAAGCGTTGGATGCAGTGGTGTAAAGCACGCCGCCACTGGACTTTAGAGAAGTGGAGATGTGTTCTCCGGAGTGATGAACCACGCTTCTCTGTCTGGAAATCCAATGTCTGAGTTTGGCGGTTGCCAGGAGAACGGTACTTGCTTGGCTGCATTGTGCCCAGTGTAAAGTTTGGTGCAGGGGGGATTATGGTGTGGGGTTGTTGTTCAGGGGTTGGGCTTGGCCCGTTAATTCCTGTGAAGGGAACTCTTAAGGCATCAGCATACCAAGACATTTTGGACAAACATGACTGCGCACCAGTGTACAAAGCAAGGTCCATAAAGACATGGATACTGCGAGCCAGGCCTTCTCGTCCAACATCAGTACCTGACCTCACAAATGCGCTTCTGGAAGAATGGTCATACATTCCCATAGACACACTCCTAAACCTTGTGGACAGCCTTCCCAGAAGAGTTGAATCTGTCATAGCTGCAAAGGGTGGGCCAACTCAATATTGAACCCTTTGGACTAAGACTGGAATGCCATTAAAGTTCATATGCGTGTAAAGGCAGGTGTCCCAATACTTTTGGCAATATAGTGTAATATACAGTATGAATTCTTGTGAATCATATATACAGTACACTGTAATGTTGTGAATAAAAGGTGAATTCTCTTTTGTTTCTCTACATACAGTAACCACTGTGAGACCGGCATGTTGTTTCCATAACCTAAGCCAATAGAAGATATAGGTTTATGCTTTATATCAGTGGTTCTCAACCTGCATAACCTCATGACCCATTTGTCCTTGGTCATTAAGTCACGACCCAAAAACAATTTAATTTTGAAACATAATTTATTCCACAAAACAACTTGTGTGTATTTGTGTGTATTCACCAACGTATATATATACATTTTATACAGTACAGTCTGTACAGATCATCAGTTTTGAGTTAACCATGAATTATGGCCCTAGAATCATTGCTCAAAATCTGACATTCATGGTGATACTTAACATGTGTGGCGCAATTGTTGTTTACATACACATGCATGTCCCATGCGTGTTTCTTTTCATGCAAATGGCAGGGTTGGTTTTCATTTTCCACACACACACACACACACACACATGGGCTTGGAATGTCATAATATGCTGCTAGCTCTTCCCCTGCACTGACAGGGGAAGAGCTAGCAGCAAATTATAACATTCCAAGCCCAGGACAGACTCCGTGGGACACAGGAAGAAATAGGAGTCAATGCAGAGTGGCACCAGCACTGAGGGGACTGTTGGACTGCATCAAGAGGCATCACATAAGGTAAGTACTTACAGCAGCATTAGGGGGAAAAAAAATTAAAAATGCCTTTAATGTCACTTAAGGGCTTCATTTATAGGTTACCAAATATTTGTACTTTTTGATTTTTTTGAAATGGATTTATTGGAGTTGCCCAAATCTTTAAAAAGTTATAGAAACCTGACAGTGGTTCTATCCTCCCATCATTCTATGCAAATCTAAGATGGTTTTTCCTTTAGTTATAACTTGGCCCTGCCTCCTGAAACTCCCTTTTGGCTTTGTCTCCTCCTATTAGAGGAGCAATAGGGAGGCTTAGGAGGTGCTGGGATAAACGGCCAAACTAGACTTTCACAGAAAATCAAGAGTTGTATATAAATTCATCTGCCTATATTTGTAGATCTACTGATAATTTTGAAGACCCATTTTCACAGAAGGTCACATTTGCTTTTTCATAGCATTCAGGATAAACAGGAATTATCTGGAATCAATTTGTGAAGAATAATTAATATTTACAAAAAACACTTTTGCAAAGATTTTGTTTTGGTACAATACGTGACTGACCAAATATTTTGCTTTTAAACAAAGAAATTTTATCAAGGCCTTTAAACCCTAAAATATGGATAACTAGTGGATAGGAAGTTATAATGGTGGATTTCCAAGTTTTTGTTTTATAACATATTAGTACTAGCTATTATAAGAAGAAGGGCTTTGGGTCACTAACTAAAATGTACAATAAAGAAAATAGATGACTAACTAATATCTACATGCACTGTATGTAAATGACATCCAAATAGTGATTAACATATTGATTTCAGAGTACCTAGATTAAAGTCTCATTATACAAGCAATAATACGCTTAGAAAACGCACATGGCTTGAATTTGAAATCTGCTGACTGCCAGCTTTTAGCAGTGTCTAGTCATGACTAACCATTGGCCAATACAAACAAGCAACAAGTGACAAACTCTTGCTTCACTTTGCAGTGATTCAATTGTGAAGGGGTTAACTAGAAAACAAGTGAATTCAAAGGTGTTGTAAATAGCTGACAGTGAATAGCTGATCATTCCCTTTTCTACGAAGAAAAGGGAACGACCCTTTTGCAACTTGTGGTAAAAGGAGATGATCACGACAGAACCTGGTAAAGCATGGTTGAGTGAGTGGAGCCAAATCTTTAACTTACCATAGTTCTATGTAAGACATTTACACTAGTTACACCTGAAACAACCTACCCAGATCCAGTTCCTTATTACCCTGACACAGTTCACAACAAATTACATCCTATGTACACTCCTTTATATAGTGGCTTTTACCTGCTTGGCATCATCATTTGTTATTTTTTACTGTTGCTTGACTGTCTTCTTGTTCCCTCCTTACATGCAAATACTGCCTTATGTTACATGCTGCATTGTCTTGTCACGTGTATCGGTGACGTCTTTTTAGTGTTAAGTGTAACTTAAAATATCTGCAGCTTTAACTTTGTATGTACAAAATATAGAAAATCACAATTACTTACACTTTTATTAATGAGAAAAAACTCTCCCTGCTCAGAGTGTATTACCTCATTCCCCCTGCTTGTTCCTGCTTATGTTTAAAAAAGGTAACCTTTTTTTTGTAAGGGGGGTGTACAGCACCAAGCACATTGGATAAGTGTAATGGTGTATATCCCCTTATGTATAATTGTTTTACTTCACTGCCTCCTTCACAGCTGCCAGATATTATACTCAGCACTGTCTTCTGGCGCTGGAGAGAGCAGAGGGGGTGGGCCAGCGGTGCAACTTCTGACTCGCAGCTCACAGACTGGAATCACTGCAGGCTCTCACAGTGACAGAAGACATCTGCTAAATGTAATATCGGCGGGATATGAAGGGGTTAGTGTTTGGTGCTGTATACCCCAAAAATATAAGTAAAACTCAGTTTTAAGGGCCTGTGTCCATGAGCTTTCTTTCACTTTAAGTGGATTTTGCATTCCCATACAAGTCTATGGAATGCAAAATCCACTTGAAGCAGATCAGACGCAGTTCTGAGGGATTCAGGTCAACTGCATTTCAAATTCTCCTGTCTCTCAGAAGCGTCTCGAACTGATGCCATCAACACACGCCTAAAGCCCTTCGACCCAGTCCCTTTATGGAACTAGTATTTCACATTTACCATCCACCATACTCACCTACTGCAACTGAATAGAGCATATCTACCTACTCATTTTATATTGTGATCACCAGCGCTTTATTTTACCAGCACTTGGTTTTTTTTTACCAAACACTTGCCTGTGACTACAAAAAAATGAAAAGTGACCGACTGTGAAATGTTTCTGCAGGGGACGCTACTCAGAAAACATGGCAAAGGGCTAGAGAAGGTAAACCTGTATGCAGACCCGTCACTTTTGTTTATTGCAGCATTGCATAGCTGGTGAAGCATTGTATCAGTGGAGAATGCTGAATATCCCTCTTGTTCTGATACTGCACATCACTGTGCAGAAGCAATGTTACAGTTTATGAAATATTTGCTGGGGGAGGGAAGATGTGGAAAAAGCTGTTAAGGTTTATGCCCGACTTGTGTTATGTAATCAAACTTTTTGTTGCTAGTACTATATGTTCTGAGGTAATGGCTAATTGGTCATATAGTGTAGCGAAGCAATGCATAACTAGTATTGGTTCTGTGCACTGTGTGTAGCTGTTCTGTATATACATGTAAGATTTGTTTAGACATGTAATGACTGTTATTGTACACTTGTATTTCACATTCACACTCACATGTTAATTCCACACTTCTCTCTCCAGAGCAGGGTGAAGCTACCGTACCATGCAGATGTAAGGACACTGTGTGTGTGTCTGTCTGTCTGCACTTTCCCATTTCAATATATATGTCTGTACAATCTCCCTTTGTGAGATGTGTTCTAAATTTGTTTAATGTATGTGTTGTTTTAGGGTATAGAATACAAGATTTTATTTACAAACCTTTAGCAAGATGTAATAGACAGTGTGTACATTCAAAAGAAAATAAGCAATAAGCTACCCAGAGTAGCCAAATGTGATATTGGAGCAAGGGTTCTGTCCCAATGTGACACCAACCTCACAGTATACCTAGCTATCAGTAATACAGATCCTTCTCTTCCCTACCAGTATGATAGTGAAGCTGATTCAGGAAAATAGAGGGGGGGGAAATGTGCACAACATTGGAATTGTTAGCAATATCAATCAACAGACCTTTCATTTAATGAAAAAAGAGGCAAAAATTGATTTGTGCTCATTGTATATTTGATGAATCAGCCCCCATTTCCCTAACCATAAAGCCTTGCTGTATGGCTTGACAAACTAGTATGACTTAAAGGCAAACTACAACTGGATGGGAAGATATCTAGGAGAGCTGCAGGCCCCAAGAGGAGTATACTAAAGTGGGGATGGTCATAGGTGAGTTGACCAGAAGAGAGTGTAGAGAGATCCACTGCTGCATCAGGACTAATGGACATGGTTCTAAACCAGTATTTTTTTCCATTGTAGGTTAGAAAATACATTTTAACTTGCATATGGTTCCATTGTGTCACAACTTAGCTTTTCCTTTCCATATTATGCCCAGTAAACCTATTATGAGATAAATATTTGGTTTGGCTTTGCTAACCTAATTCTTAAAATACTAGTTTCCTGGCTGTTATGGTGACCCTATGACTTCAATTAATAATTTACAGTTAAGTCAAGAGATGTTACTGCATACTTTTTCTGGGCCATTGAATCAAAACATTAAAATCAGACAATCACCATGATAGACAGGCAAATACCATTTCCAGAAAGGGAGGAAAATAATGTCAACCTCCTATAATAGGGTTCCTTCATTCATTTTAACATAAATCAGATCAAATTAAATTAAATAAAAAATGTATTAGTCCTTTAGCTTTGCAGCATGGGGTCAGTGCTTAGGATAAATAAAAATGGTCCAAGCTGTCCAATCAAAAAGAAGAAGAAAAAAAACCACTGAGGCCATCGATCTCAATGCCTCGAGCCAGTGACGAGCAAGTGAGGACCGGGAGTCCCTGTCTCCTCCCTTCCTCCTTCCCACACAGCTTGGTTACAGAGCTGGGGGTGGGGCTTCGACTGGACTGGGGGTGGAGCTTCGGTGGGACAGGGGGCTGGGCTTTCACTGGACAGGGCAGAGCTTCGGCAGAAGGTACGGCACGTCACTGGTAAAAACCTGGGAGATGTTCTGACCCTTCTCCACTCAATCCACACAAAAAAAGGCAATTTCTATGATGAGAAAGTAATGGTTTCTAAGGGATTGAAAAGCAAATAAATGATGAGTTATAATTAGGGATATGAGTGTGTTTGTGGAGAGAGAGGCACAGAATACAGATAAAAGTAATATTATGATGTGCTTTTCTGTTAAAATAGGCAGAATGATTTACAGGTAGATCTTTATGTTCTGAGTGTTGATGATAATGTCCACGATAATGGACCGACTACTGTGCAAAAAACAAAAAAAAAGTATATATGGATAGTGTATCATGTGTAACTGTACTGTTTATGTTTGTATTTATCAGGGGACCCATCTCATCATCAATGCTGCTAAAGAGCTTGGACAACTATCTAAACTCAAGGTATGTTTTTGTAAAATAGAGAAGATTGAAAGGATATTAAGGCTAGACAGGTTTGTTTTACCCTTGTGGGTTGCTTACCGGCCAACTTCAGATTTTTCTGCCTTCTTTCTGATTTTTTTCCAAATGGTATTAACAGCGTGCTTTGCTCTAGGCCACCTTTCCAAGGTATTATACTTTAGTAAGAATATTACCAACAGGACAAATGTCAGAAGGCAGTGGAACTAGGCTTAATGCTCAGAACAATCCACAAATAATTTTTATCTTACAAGACCTTTTAAGAGTGGATTGATCTTTATGTATGAATTTAAAATCCAAGAACAATGCCTATATGTTCCATACAGACCTAGAATGGTTTCTACAGTGAAGGGTGTTTTTTTTCAAATGGTAAAGACCACTTGGAGAGCCTCATACTAAATCCTACCTTGTGGGGTAAAGAAATTAGACATAACTATGTCAGTTTAGGATATTTGGGCATGGAATGTCTAATATTTGATCATGCATAAGGGGAGTAAAGAGAAAATAAAGATTTTTTGCAATTGAGAAGAGGAGTATAAAGGTGATGTTTCTGAAAATGCACGAAGAAGCAATTTGGTTGAGCATAGGCACACCACAAGAATCTGCGGATTCTTGTGGTGTGAATCCCAGATGTGTCTAAACAGATGTGAATGACAGGCTGACAGTGGGGCGCATTTGTGGAGGATGGGCTAAGTAAACAAGGTACAAGAAGGAATAATAGGTTGGGGAGGAGAGCGAGTAGGAGAAAGTGGAAAAGGTGGTGGTGGGAGGGGGAGAAGGTACAGGGATCGGGAAAGGGAGAGAGAGAAAGTTCTGGGGTCTATCTTAGTGGGATTATGCTATGTTATAGTGTTATTATAATTATATAATGGTTTAATAGTTGCGTATATATTATAGTTTAATAGTTGCGTATATATTACATAGTATTTGAGGTTGAATAAAGACATTAGTCCATCAAGTCCAACCTATAAACCCAGGGACAAAATGTAAGGTATTTGTTGTTAGTGTCATTGAGGAGAGCAGTTTGTTTTTTGTTAACCATTGTGCCATTATCTGCACTTCCATACCTACATATGTGTCAGTAAGGGTTAGTAAGTCAGAAACTTTTTAGAAGGGGAGGTCAACAATGGCAGCCTCTCTATATTTCTGAACTGTTTTCTCAATCATTATTGAGACCTGATTAATGAAGATTTTCCATGCAATGAAGAATCAAAAAGCTCTTGTTTAATTGTTTTTATAATCTAATTGCAGTCTGTAACGATTGATGACCCTTGCATTTTCAGTCCTTGTAGCTATTGACACAATTGTTCATTTTTTTTCCATGTAGGATCACATGGTGAGGGAGGAAGCAAAGAGTCTGACTCCTAAGCAGTGTGCTGTGGTGGAGCTTGCACTCGACACTATTAAGGTAATGACTACTACACTACAGACAAGATAAAAACTTTTTCTCATCGTTGTTTTTTAATTGAAAACCACAGAATGAAAATTCCCCAGAGAGCTGATATCCACTGCTTCATCTCAATATATCTGAGAATTTATTAGTTTATTGCAGAGATAGAGGCAGCCTTAAGCAAAGTAAAATGACAGCTGATGCTGTGTGCAGGAGAACTGCTTCCAATCACAGGCTCAGCAATAGAAATTAAAGAGTGCTCAGCTGTAAACAGGAGCTGCTGTCTGAACAGGGCCATCTTGGGGCATGTAAAAAAACTCCTCAGTCTGTGTTCAGAGAATTCCTCCTGCCTTAAGCACATAATGTTCGAAACTGCTGCTGGGGATTCCTGTGGCAAGAATCTGCGGATTCTTGTGATGTGAATCCCAGATGTGTCTAAACAGATGTGAATGACAGGCTGACAGTGGGGCGCATTTGTATGTGGCTGCAAGTAATCATACATGGATTGATTACCTGCAGATCGGGAGAGATGCTTATCCCTGGATGCCATGTTTCTGTACGATTATTTGCGGACAGATGCGGCCGCTGTCGACCTGTCATACACTTGAATGGGCACAACACAGCATCTTGTAAGGACACACTTAAGATTCCTGCCGCAAGAGTTCTTGCTGCAGTATTCCCCAGTAGCGGCTTTGAACATCGTGTGCATGAGGCCTTAGTTTTCTTTGTTTACATTTGCTGAGGATGTGATTGGGGTCAGTCCTCCTTCACGAAGCCTCAGCTGCCAATTACAAATTTTGTAATGTCTGGGGGGAGGAGAGGCAGAGGGCAATAGGAAAGAAATGACAACTGCCCCTAACACTGCAAGATGCTAACCAAATAATTGTCCAGTGGGGCAATAGAATGTACAAATAAAACACTACTTCTTTTTCGTTTGTTGAGGGACACAGGGTTTTAGTGGCATTTGGGTCTACGGGAACATGTGGACGCTGGAAGATAAAAAAAACAGCCACCAGCATGGTATAACCCCTTCCACTCCCAGCATGCCTCCATTTTTTGCTAGTGCCCTAGGAGCATGATAATTTTTTTCTCCACTAAGAAAAGTCTAACTGATTGGTCTCTTCCTTTTCAAGACTATGATTAGCTGCCATTATTTTAACCCCAGGGTAATGCTGAGGTGCTGCATAACTGGGTAGAGAGCCATGTGCACACACTACCCACTCTGTTCCCGCTTGCAGTGTGATGTAGCCCCCCCATTGCTCCTATTTGTTCCCCCCCATTGCTCCTATTTGCAAGTGAGATACAGTTCTACCCCAGTTAATCCATGTTACCTGTAGAGGATACTCCAGTATTTAAGGATCCTAAAGAAAAATAGCTGGAGTCTTTCTCCAATACCTTGTTCCTTGTTTGTAGTGAAAAACAGGATTTTTTTAACCTGTAAAATTAGTTTCATGAAGTACATAACAATCCTTCAACAGATCCTTCAACAGATCGGTTATGCTGTAACCTCAGGGGACCGAGTCAAACCTGCAGGACAGTCCTGTTATCCATCCCACTCCTAGTCTGCCTCAGTTTTTTGCTAGTTCCCTTAGGTTATGGACACCTTCTCCTTGCTCTGAGAGAAGTACATCCTTTTCTTCTAGTAGGTTTTCCCCTGTGTTGCTCACAGCCGACCTAACAGCAGCTATTTCAGTTTAGTTTTCTTCTTGGCGGAACATTGTGGACTGTACCCGGGCTTGCCAGTAGAAGTTTGCAGGGCTCGCCTGTGATGTAATTAGGGCACTGAATTCTGCATTAGGCACTCTCCTTGACACTTTGTTCCACCTGTATAGTTGCCACAGGATGTCTGACAGGTCCAGGGCCCCTGGCCCACTAGGAAGGTCAAAAGGTGTCTCCTTTTAAGTGACCAGCCCTTCAGAGTCAGCCACGGCTCTGAGGGTAGTAAGTAAAGGTTTGTTCCTAACCAGTTACCCAGTTTGACCCTTCCTCCACTGGATCATAAATTCGAGGTTCCAGTGGCAAAAAGGGTTCACAGCTACCCTCAAAATTTGAATTTGGAACCATTTTCCCAGGTTCAGTGGGCAGCCTGGGAAGTCACACGGTTCCTGTGCAGCCTCCCTCTGGTGATACCTACTGCGCATGCACTGGCCATTTTCATTTCTGGCATGTACTGTACTGGTCACAAAGGCTTCACCTGCTCCTGCAACTCTGGATTGAAACAGAGCCCAGATCTCTGGCACCGTTGCACTGGGTTACTCTGGATGCCTTTGTTTGTATACACCAGTTTCTGCTGTATGTGTGTTTGTGTAGTGTCAGGCAGTGCAGGCTTCCTAAATTGCTGTTATTAAAAAGCACATCAGCATGCTGATTTAAAATCATCTTACAATAGTTAATTAAACAAACTTGTTTTTCATTTACTTACAAATAGAGTTCATCTACTTCCTGGTCCAGTTCTGGCACAAATGTAATGTGCCAAAGCATTGCATCCTGGGAAGGTTACATCAGCAGATTGCTGGGAAATCTCATCTGTAATTTCATGAGACCCCTTCCATGCATGGTCGCATGTCCTAGTCACATGTGCCAGAGATCCAGGAAGTAAATGGAGAGCTAGTAACCTGCCCTTAGTTAACACTGCCAGAAGACTGGGAAAGAAAAGAGAAATAAGGTATGCAAAGAATACAAAGCCTGCAATTATCTATAAGTATGTGTTTGCAGATTGCCATTACTAAACATTTCTAAAGGTGTGTTTGTTGTTATTTTAAAGATATGGGTAAAGTTCCACTTTAAAAATTGCCTATAGGCCAAGTAACTTGTTTGAGAGGATGGTCAAAGCCACATGGTTGGAGTTCCCAAGTAGGTGTGCTTTGAATGTCCATATGGCATATTAGCAGTCACATTCTTAATTCAGTGTCACTAACTGTACCATTTTTCTTTCAATGCAGCAATATTTCCATGCTGGAGGTGTTGGTCTTAAAAAGACTTTCTTGGAGAAAAGTCCTGACTTGCAGTCTCTGCGCTATGCACTTTCTCTATATACACAGGCAACGGACACACTCATCAAAACCTTTGTCCAAACACAGACTGCTCAGGGTGAGACTTTTTTTATATATATATATTCAGTTTTTTATACTACGTGATGTATTACTTTGACAGAAAATATGTGTAGACTTTGCAATATTGTAAGCTTCTTAATCACTGTGTATTCTATATTTACTCTTCACTTTTTATTTTCTAATTGAAAACAACAGAAAGGTTACTGTCCGAAAAGGAATTAGCATGTGCATAGCCCCAATATCAAATTAGGAGTTGTTCTCTTTGAAAATCATGTCACTATTAAACCAAAACACATCCTACATAAAGGGACTATACAGAGCCATATAGCAGACATGAGTAGCTTTGCCAGTGCTGTTTTGCTAACTGCATTATTTTGAAGAGCTAACAGCTTATATTTTATACTGCTTTATAATGCTGCAAGACTTCTGGTTTCTTTCTACTGTAATGTTGCATCTCTTTCTAGTTTGTGGTACTACATTTTGGTGGAATATGTTAAGTGCTGTGTACTATTGGATTGCAATGGAATTTCCTGTTAACACTAGCTTTTGTAAAATGCTTTGCCAACAATTTACGATCATTGTTTACTCTTACAAACAGAAATCCTAGGGTCTTCTATTTCTTCATGCAGATCGCTGTGCTATGTTTGCATAGCGTATAATATGTCTATATTCCTCTAGTCAATCAAGGCAAATGTCAGACTTATTTCAGACATGTTGTTCTTTTAAAAACAGATATCCTGCTCAAATTTTTAGTACTTGATTCCCCTTATAGTTAAAAAGTAGCCATTTTCTAAGTCACTTTGCAAAACATTTAATGCAGTTGACATGATAGTAAAACAAAACTTTCTAATTTAGAGATACAGTTAACAAACAAATAATTGTATTCCCTTCTTATGTCTTGAAAGATCTTTACCAATTTGTAATATTTTCCTGAATTTATCTTTAGCATCATAATTGTTTTTATCGCATTTAATTATATGTGAAACAAAAATGTGTTTATTTTTGGATAGAGTAGGGAGTCTTCCAATGGAGACACTTGTTCTCCATTGGAAGACTATATTTATCTTTTGGTACTCGACGATATCGAGTACTGATACCGGTACTTCTGCTAGCATGGAACCAGCTTCCTGAACGATCAGGAAGCCAAGCGGCGTGTCATTACCCGCCGCTCGACTCTTTGATTGCCCGGGAAGCAGGCTCCATGCTGTTTGGCCAGCTCACTGCTGATTGGCCAGGAAGCCTGCTTAACCACCCGATCAACATCGAGCCAGCCAAATGGCATGGGGCCAGCTTCCCGGCCAATCACCAAGCTGTGCGACGAGGCATTACCCGCCACCGGGTTCCCGATTGGCCGGGAAGCTGGCTCCATGTTCTCTAGCGGCACTGCCGGTGAGAGGCAATCTCCCTCTGACCAGCAGTTCCGGTATTGGGAATAAGTATCGGAGCATACTAGTATGGGTATTAGTGCATCCCTAGTTATAACCATTCCTTACTCTATCCAAATTTTTTTAAAGGTTTTGCCTTTAGATATCCTTTAAAGACAAAAGCATGACAAATTTGTTAACAAGCAAACCTATTAGGTAGTACTGTGTTCTATGTGGCTCAAATACAACCATTGTGGTAGAATCACACGCAGATGACAGTGGGTGTATATACATTATATATTAGCAAAACAAGAAGAAAAAAAATGCATACTTTATTGTTATATGTTGTTCTGTGTTTTTTTGCCTTTTATGTATGTCATTTTTTCATGTCTATCATTCTTGTGTTCTTTGCTTTATGCAAGTCACTTTTGAGTTCCTGCAACACAGAGTGACAGCAACCATCACCCATTAATATTAATCACTATTTTATATGTAAACTATACTTCTACTGCACAATCCACAATGCACCTTCCTATGGCACCATGAATGCACTAACTAAACTGTGTGAAAAAAATCATATTTTGAAACTCAGTAGGTATCACCACCCCATTTTTAAAACATTGCACAAAAGAGTTATACACACATTTTTTACAATTTTTCGCATTGATAAGGGTCAATTAAAATAAATAAATGGCAGCTATCAGTTAAATATCCCACAAAATAATTAGTAAATGTAAGACGTTACATTTAAAAATAATAACTCAGCTTCTCAGATTGATGTAGATAAATATAAGCAAGCTGCTGTTGTGGTTGTTGTATTTGTATATACCTTAACCTATACCTAGAATGTCCCTGACACTTTTTAAAAAGCTCAATTTACTGTTACTGCCTAGAGGTTTCAAAATCTCAAAAGTTCAACATTACTTTAAATATTTAAAGTGGAAAACCTGCTAATACCAAAAGGATCAGGGAATCAGCATGCTACGTACTCCAACCTATTTGACTGCAACCTGTTAAATATACACAGCGGATAATAACTTTTGAGGTGAAGCAAACTAAGGGATAACACACTGTAGCTTTAGAAAAACACTTAAAGGAGAACTATGAGGTGAGTGATTTCCACTCATCTTCATAGTTAGAGCCGACCTGTGACAAAGAATCTGTCACAGGTCGGCTCTATAGATCGGGAAGTGATAGATAGACAGAGCCAGCTGTCACTCACGCAGCTAGGTGGAACTCGACAGTATCTCGACAGCAATAGCCCACTATATACTGAGCTTTGGGTCACGGGAGAAGGTTAGTATATGTCCTCCCGTGACCCTAAAGAGAACTATGGGGAAAAACACTTATCCCATAGTTCTCCTTTAAGCTTTTAAAAAACAAATACCGCATATATGTAAAATTATAACATATGCAATAATTATTGATAATTGGGAACAATCTATTCTATTTAAGCCTTTGGAAATGTTTAGAGAAAGTAATTACTTTTCCAAAGTTTTTAGAAAGAAGGTATACCAAAGGAGGACTATTAATCTCCTTGTCTTTTTACTGATTATATGAAGTGCAGAGTCCAAATGAAATTAATCAGTGCCACAGAGGGCAGGTGAACTAGACCAAAAATTTGTCCAAATTATCTAGAGTTACCAACTTAAACTGATGTTACAGTGTAAGAAAAGCTAGAGTTTTTATAAACAGATATTTCAGTCATAATAACACCCTAAAATAAAAACTAGATGAATACAGCTTAAAGTGACACTAAACCCAGGAGTTAAAACTTAAAAATGCTTTTAAGCATGTGTGTTGTAAAGTAGCCAGCCACTGCTCCAAGCTCGCTCTTGTGATGGGCTACAATCTCAATACAAATTGGTATACTAAATGTGAGATTGTAGTCCATCATGGGAGTGAATTTGGAGCGGTGGCTATTTACAACACACAGGGACTATGGGGAACAAAAGTAGCCACCCCCCAGAAGGAAGGACAGTGTCAGCATGAATTCAGAGATGATTTAAATAAGATACATTTTTGTTAATAGTTAAGGTACTTGAAAGTATTCTTAAGATTTAAGTCATGAGTTTAGTGTCACTTTAATAATCTTATAACCACCATACCCAAAGTTTACTAAGTTGGCTTCAAAATCTCCTTTATTGTTATAGAAGACATTTCCCAGATCAGTTTAAATCAACCCAAACTAAATAACATTACACATCCTAACCATTTTGCGCCTAATTCATGCCCTGTATTAAATTATTTATGCTATATTTAGCAAAAAATCCTCTTTTCATGTTGACCTGCACCTTCTACTCTACTTCACATCTCTTCCATCTCTTCTTTCTTCCTTTCCTTTATCCCTCAGTCCATAATGGAAAAGGTATTAGGTTTACTCTTAATGAAGAGACTTATCCAGAAAAGGGTATGTCATTGGTACAAAGGTTTTGGAAGCATGCCCTACTGCTAGGCAAATTACTCTTTTCCACTTTCAGCAAGAGATAATTTTCTGGCTTATGAGGAGTAGTGGAGGGGTTTGGTTAAGCATGTAGAAACTCCAGTCCCACTTGTCAGTAGTTAACACCATGTCTTCATTTTGAAGTGTTGATTTGTTGTAGAAAAAAAAACTTTCCATGTTTTATTTGTTGTGTATGTCTGAACTGTAGCGGTGCCAAGTAACTTTTACTTAATTATTTACACACAATCCTGAATTTTATAAATATACTAAATTACTAACTAATTTAATGCAATTACAGTCACAGTTAACTTCATTTTGGTAACATCCTAGTAATATACTACAACAGTAAGACAAGGAAACATTTATTCTAACCACACTGATGCCAGATCTGCAAAATTGCTGTAAATTTGTTTACCTGTATAAGTGGGACTGAAGTATTAACTCCTTTGCTATTGGTGATATAATATAACACACTTTTGGCCCCTTTTTGTAGAAACTGAATGTGAAGCTTGTCTTGCAAGACACTGCAATATGATATTTTGCCTGTAGAAAGCATGCAGTGCATTAGTCTGATTAGCCCGAGTTTACTTATTAGCATTAGTGTTTCTTAAACTATGCAACATATAATGGGAGTTTTTCGACCAAGTTGGACAAAGAAAATGTTAATAAGATAACAAAAACAAAAATCCATGGTGGGAACTGTAAGTGTGTAAAACTATGCTAGAGGTTGGGGTGGATGCTTCAACACATGCTTTAAATTTAAAGCAGAAAGAAAACACTAAGTTGCATGTTGCACTGAGCAAGCATGGATAGACTGAAGTGGACCCATAGGGTGTCTCAAGCGTATACTAGCGGACCTGAGTTACAAGTCAAATTGTTACCCAGCTCCTCAGTAATCTAAACTGAAATGACTGCTGGCAGGTGTAAATCTACTAAAACAATTTAAGTGATTTAATCTGAAGGAGGTTGCACATTGCTCTTAAATGCTTATAAACCTCCTAGACCCTGCCAGCAGTTATACTCAGGAAAGTCAGTTGCCTTTAGGACCTGTACTGTTGTAATACTTATTCATATGTTTCCATCTGCCAGGATCTGGAGTGGATGATTCAGTTGGAGAGGTTTCCATTCATGTAGAACTCTTCACCCATCCAGGAACAGGGGAGCACAAGATTAGTGTCAAAGGTAAAAACAAAATGACAATTGCGATTTGTTCAAGAACCCACATGGCACAGAAAGCAAGCAGATTTTCCAATGCAACATTTTGAGAATAACTTAACATACTTTAATATGCCGGGTTTATCAATTGTGATGATGAAAAGGATAATAAACAACTGAGAAAAAGGTTTAAATCATTGATTTTGAGGGGTCTTTAGAAGTACCAGTAAGTCAGAACTTTGAACAAGAAATGCAGTTTAATGTTTATGTAGATTTGGTCGATATGTCTGATTCTAGCCTATTTGAAATTTCAAACAAGCGTCGATATGTGATACCAGAATTTGAGCATCTTCCGTATATACAAACATTAGGCAGTCCTGTCATTGTAATTGTTTTTCTATACATCCTGAGTTAGACAAATGTGAATGTGAGATAGTTTAAGTGGCAGTTACTTTAAAAAAAATGTAAAGGGAATTCCATTACACAAAAATATCCTGAAAAATGTTAAGTCAGAGGTACCCCAGTTTTGAGTTCTGAATAAGAGCTTCAAGTTAAGACTAAATTTGGGGTCTTACAACACTAGGTTTGATATAGAAAAACAGGAGCAGAAGTGAAGCAGTTACAAATGTAACCAGTCAGATTCATTGTATGCTTGAAATCTTATTTGCTGTTATGGTCAACTGTTTCACTTTTGCTCAAGGTGTTTTTGACCAAAGATTTCCAAGTAAGCCTACCTACAAATGAATGTAGAAGAAAACACATCCATTTAAAGCAATTTTTCAAACTGCAGTGACGAGATAAGATGTTTTTTCAGTAGATCACAAACTAAGCCAAGTTCACAATCTATTTACTTTATCCATGGTTTAAAATGTCAGAGTAGAATCTGCGAAAGTTGTGTAGCGCTCACCCCCGAAGTGAGATGATCGGGTCTTCTGTTTCAGCTCTGTGACACACCATAAGCAATGAATCCACAGCACACCAGCACACCTTGTGAAGTTTTATAACAGATTTAATGACTATGGAATAGAACAAAGCACTTAACAGCTCCCCAATCACATGTAATACAACCAATAACAGGATAAGGCAATCTGACACGCAGCAGCAATCTATTGCATGCACGAAAGCCTGCAATGTCAGAATGTCTCAGATAATACACTTAGATTGAATGCAATCAACATTAATATCTCTACTTAAAAGTATCTACCCCACTCTAAACTACTGGCCAGTAGTACTTTCCTAGGCCAGCCGGCGTTGGGGCCCTTACTGTAGTGCAGATATGAACAATAAACAGGGTGTCACTGTGGCCAAAGGCCTCTCACCACTCCTCAGATCAAAAAAAGGGAAGAGATGAAGTCTGCTGGTGGAAGCTGGGTGTCCTCTCTCTCTCTCAAGTCGACTCTGGGAGGAAGGTGAAGTCATCTGGGTCCCTTGTAAGAAGTTTTCACTCATTCAGGAGACTGGCAGTCATCTCGGTCGTCTCCGTCTGGCTACTCCCTCTCAGCTGGGCTGGCTGGATCACCCCGGTGGCTGGTTCGGCCGTGCGGCTAGACCTCGACGTCACCGGTCCTCACTTCAGGCACTCGATCTGGTCCTCTCTAAGGCCCCATTCCCATGTAGCGACTTATCGCGCGATTTCCGCCGCGTTATCGCGCATTTTTGCCGCACGATATCGCGAGAAGTCGCCGGCTAATGATAGTCAATGGAGCTGTCTTAGCTCCATGTCGCCCGTCGCTCGTCGCGGTCGCAAGTCATTTCTACAGGACCCTTTTTTCGGCGGATTTTGCTTTTTTCAATGGAGCCCGACGGAGAAGGTCGCGCTACCGTCGCTGGATCGTCGCTGGAACATCGCCCCCCGAAAGTCGCGCTATCCCGGCCGCTGCAAAGGTATGTCGCTACATGTGAATGGGGCCTTATTCAGCAACTCAGGTCAGTCTCTCTGTACACCACTGCACAGAGCCTGTGTGTCCCTGCATGTCAGAGGTGACCACACAGCTCTGTTGCACACAGTCTTAACCCACACAGGGTTACACCGGTCTGTCCTCTTCAAATGGCTGTCCCAGACAGGCTGCTCCGCAGATGCAACCCATAAACCTCCTGTTTCCTTCCCCACATCCTCCTGGGAAATGCAGTTCTCAAACTTCTTTCAGCCAAAGTGTATCAATATCAACTCTGTATTACAATCCCCACAATCTGTGCTCTCTGGCTCCACCTGCAGCTGCAAAATATTTCCTCTGTAAGGGCTGAAATCAAAACAGGGCTACAGTTGTAATTGCAGGATATTTTAAAGTAAGCTTCTGTACTTTCCATATTGTATCATCTAATAATGTTTGAAGACATATTGAATTCATTTTGCAGAATTTTAACTTTTTTTCTATTTACTTTCCTATTTTTTGCTAAAGTTGTTGCTGCAAATGATCTGAAATGGCAAACTTCTGGGATTTTCCGGCCTTTCATTGAGGTCAACATGATTGGCCCAAACCTGAGTGACAAAAAGAGAAAATTTACTACAAAATCCAAGAATAATAGTTGGGCCCCAAAATATAATGAGAGCTTCCAATTGTGAGTATACCTACAAACCTAAATCTCATATACATACCAAACACAAATCCTCATAACAATAACAATGGTAATAGTACCTAAATTAAATTTCTCAAACCTGGGCAGTTTTTAAACTGGACAATTCAAGCAAACGATGTTCAGTGAAAACCACATGGCAACATTATTAGTAGGTTCTAAAATAGACAAATAAAGTTATATGCCACTCTCTTTCCTTTACAAGGCAGGCTTGGCCTTACCTACAGTACTGCCAAGCCTGTAGGGAGGCTATTAGCAGGCAGAATTAGAACCAAGGTTGACTTTTATAGGAACAAAAAACTGGAAATTACTTATTGTTCTGGCAGATGGTTTCAATCCTCATACTCTCCCCCCACGCTTAGTTTGAACTAGTCAAAGATTATATATATATATATATAACTTCATTCAAAATAAAGCTATTTACTATACAGACATGTGTGAGCTTTGACCTGCTCCATTCCAAATGTTGTTAGAAACACTCAATTTCTTTGCTAGTCAGTTTTATTCTACTGTTATTATAAACTACTGCCAGAAGAAATATTATAAAGCCACAAGGCTTTTCCTGCTAAATGGACTTACGGGTCCAGTGTAATGTGGCTCGCCAATATGCTAAAAACTAGACTACTGTGTGTGTGTGTGTAAGGATTAGGAAGGAGATATTCACCACCAAAATCTATATCCCTAGGTTCCTTATTTTGGACTAGAATTCCTAGAGCTTTTCTACACAGTTGTGAATATTTTCTGCTGTTGAGGGGACTGTATGTCTTATAGCTGATCCAAAAAACACAGGATTGCAATGTCTAGAAAAACCTATACAAATGCCACCTTTCCAAGTAGTATTCCTGTGTAATGTGTGTGAACGGTTTCATTTATCTAAGTCTCAGTATAGCTAATGGTAGTTAGTCGCACATAACTGGACTTGTTCTGTAATGCTGAAGCCATTTTGCCACTCATCTCAGTGGCTTCCTCAGTTTTAAAGCCAAAGTCCAGCCTTAGCTTTTTTTCCAACACTTGTAGCGAGTCCTTTTTTGTGTTGAAACTTATTACTGAAAATTTGCATCTCTAAAATATAACTTGTTGAAGCTGCAACAGCTGTCTCAAGCCCGTCTTCATTTCCTGTCTAACGACTTTAATCAATAGTTCCTTTATTACACTCTGCTAATCAAGCAACTGATCAACAGATTGCACAGCTAAAGTCTGCAGCACCCAGTGGCCAGTAGGGAGGAGCATGCACATCTAAAAGGATGGTAGGGATGTGCTCTTTAATATAACGCTCAAAGCAGGGTGCTGTTACCTTTACAGGAGCCTGTCGACCCCTCCAACCAAACTGCATCTTACTATGGCACAAAGACCAGCAGAAAGATCCAGTGATGATATAACTAATTCTCAAATAAGGGATTTCTTGAAAACAAAGTAATTTGAATGAAAATGTTCAATTTAGGGATGCACCGATACCAATTACCGCACTCGGTACAAGTACAATTACAAGTACAGATACTTTTCCAGACTAGACTAGAGAAAAATTAAAAAGTTAGGAGGCAGCTGTCATTTGTAAGGAGCACACGGAGCTCCTGGGATTTGTACATCTCTGTTTTAATGTATGATTTAGTTTTTATAAATATAAATAAAGGGATGCAGCGATACCAGTTTTGCGAGTACAAGTACTGATACTTGGCCAAGTACTTACAAGTACGAGTACTGATACATTTTTGTTTATTGTTATGTGACAGTTTTTCTAAACCAATACTAATGATTTCAGGACAGTGGTGGAGTGCCAGAGCCCGGTCCCAGCTGCAACCGCTGCAACCCTGGCAGTTCTCATGAAAATGCCAAGTATCGGCACTGGTACTCGAAAAGTATCGGTGCATCCCTAGTTCAATTGCATGTAGATTGGGAGGGACAAAAAAAAGTATTATATGCGTGCGTTGCACTTCAGCTGTAAAGAGTGTCAAGAACAGCCACATGGGTAACTCATTCACCCTAATCAAATCCCCATGGTACTAAGAAATGTGTCATGTAAGATGTTGAATTTCTAAGGATATGACAGGGTTGTGAAAGTTTGTTAAATCACTCTGTTCTTATTTACATAATGCATTCACTATGGTGCCATGAAGTCTGGAGCAGATGTTAATTGTTTAGGGGGGAGTAAAAAATATAGATTGTTGCAGACTGCAGTACTCCTTTAAGGCATATAAATACTGTAGAGTTCGCCCTATATTGGGCCATGAGTTTGTTGAACATTTGTTTTGTCCTCCAATTGTGTAGGTCTTTGCATTTATTGGACAGCATATAGAAGGTTATTTTGCTTGTGCTTGGTTGCTCGTTCATTGGGATGTAACCAAATCCCAATGAACAAGGTCATGTTAACCAAAACCTAGTCTGGGTGGCCTCAGGCATTCAAACTATTTGCCTGTGCTCTTTGTCTTTAGACGCTGTGTTTGATGTTACCATCTCATCCCGGTGGAGTGCTAATATCCCCTGGTTTGTGTTCCAGTGAGTGGTGGGAGTTGAAAAGCAGATATTAGTATGTGTGGGTAAGTTTCCTGTAAATGCCAATGTTAAAGTCACCCCAAAGCAGAGTTAAAGTAGTATTAAACTCTCAAACTTTTTCCCAATAATGAATCAAGATAAAGCAAATATACATTGTCCAACAAAGCATTGTTTTACATTTTTGCTCAAACACATACAATCATCATGTTTTTGAACAGTTGCTTCCAAGTCTCTCAGCTCAGCTTCCCTGAACTTCCTGTCCAGTACAAGATCACAAGGGACAGAGCAGACTCCGGCAATTGTTCATCTACTAGCGTGGAGAAGGACGGAGGGAGGAGAGGGGGGCAGGTAAGAGCGGAGTAGCTCGATTTGCTGTGTCTGTGTGTTTGTGGAGACACACACAGCGTACTAGCACACACAAGGGTGACTGCATAGCACTCTGCTTGAGAAAGGAGTTACTCTAAAATAGGAAGGCAGGCCCAGTGCTCATGGGACCAGCAGATTCTGCAGGAAACTCAAACTTTTAAACATCAAGGAGCAGCATTCATTGTAAGCGATTTCATCAACATTTGAAATAGCTTAAGATTCTTTTGACTTTAAAATCACTTCAGGACTAAATGGGGAATTAGGCAGACTATTAGCTTTGCCCCCCTCCAAAACTACCATCTTGTACCCTGCTTCCCTATAAATTGTCAATTCTTTTACCTTCTATATGGTAATTGTATATACCCTAATAAAATGTAACCACTTGTACCTTCTGTTATCTCCCTTAGCTCTTTTATCCTTGGTATTTTCCCTTATACTAGGGATGTCCCGATACCGATGCAAGCATCGGTATCTGGACCGATACAGGGCAGTGGAGCACTGAGAGCAGGGGGCGTGGAGCACTGAGAGCAGGGGGCGTGGAGCACTGAGAGCAGGGGGCGTAGAGCTGTGACAGAGCCGGACACGTGGAGCTGTGAAGGCCTCTGTCACCTCCCTCAGCCTCTGTCCCCGGCTGCTGCTCGTTCTTGTCACAGGAGTTCTAGCACAGTGCTGTGCTAGAACTCCTGTGTTGGACGTGACAGGGTCAATAAAGAGTACCTGTCACCTCCAAATGCTATCACACAGGGGTTTGTTAGCCCCTGTGTGATAGCAATAAAGTTAAGTGAAAAAAATTGTTCAAAAAAAGTAAAAAATAATAACTAATTAAAAATGTAACTAAATAAAAATTTAAAAAAATTAAAAGGCGATAAAATAATAAAATAAATGAAAATTAAAAAATCTTACAAAGTAAATAAAAATGGAAAAAAATGAAAACCAGCCCCCTGCCCCAGGGGGGCTGGTTTTCATTTTTTTTCCATTTTTATTTACTTTGTAAGATTTTGCATCTGCATGCGAATAAACGTGCAGTGTTTTCAACCGCGATCGCGTGCAACCGCACGGGCAGGGCGGTATTGCGACGGGAAACCACACAATCTGCCTGGCACGACTGGGGTTGCCATTAGAAAATAATGGCACTGGCAGCGCAATCAGCGGTGGTGTGCGACCCATGACCGCCCGGTCATCGTGCACGAAACCGAGTGGATGGCTGGGCGCTCACGGAATCGCACACCACCGCCGATCGCGCTGGCAGTGCCATTATTTTCTAATGGCACTCCATTTGCGCCAACATGATCGCATGGTTTCCCGCTGCAATACGGCCTGGGTGGTCCCACACGATCGTGGTTGAAAACATGAATAGGTTAAATGATCCCAGAGGCAAATGCATGATCGGATTTGTAGTTTCACTACACCAATCATGTGTAAGCAAAAATCATGTTTTTTTTTTCATTTTCATTGCACACAATTGGGTATTATTTGCAAAGTGAAATTTCTCTTTGTTTTACCTTGTTTATTAAGATAAGTGAAAATTCACTTTGAAGATGAACATGCTTTACTTTTTTAGTAAATCAGGGTTGGTCTACTACCTTTTTCTTGTGACAGCCACCATAGAGTGATAATTGAATGTATTCAGTGCATCTCCCCTTTTCTGCTGATGGCAAGGATGGCTATGCTCAGATCTCTACTAATCAATGTAAGAGCCCTCCTTTCTAACACGGTTATGTTGAAGGAGGGTGGCTTGGTGCTGGATAGGACAGTCAAAACCCTCGGGGAGAGCTGTTCAGCCTCATCCTTTGATGCATGTTATAACAGATTCCGTAGCTGTGATAAAATACACCACAGGGACATGTTAGAGTGTCACAGCAATGTTCAGTCCCTTGGCCAAGAGATCAGACTGGGTAACTTCCCTGTCTGTAACAAACTTTGCCCCCTTGTGCTTATTTTGTGGAGTTTTTCACTATCTTCCTTTCTCCTCCAGGTTAACTCTTCTGTAATGTTATTGTCATTGCTCTGTAGGAGCAAAGTGGTAAACTTGTTGATTTTGACTTTTCTTGTCCTTGTGTCTTGGGCTAGCCACGCTTGCTCTGTAAATTCAACCCTAAGATTTCAGCAGGTAGTCTTGGTGGCAAATTTTGTTTAATACTGTCAGCTTTCTGTCAGGCCTTCTGTTTTAGCCTAGCTATGACCTTTTGTTGTGGAACACAAGTGCAGGCTGTTGCAGGCAAGTCCATAATCTAAACATCTAAGGTTAAAACATAGCTATTTTGTGTAATCTAAACATTTCCTTGTGGTTTCTCATATTCCCAAACCAGTTTTAGGGCATACCACCCAAATGATTGCCAAACACAAGCAAGGTAATTGCAATATACAGTCCATTGTAGAGAGGAATGCAAAGACTTGTACATTGGGGATACAAAACAACTGCTCAACGCTCACATGGTCCAACATAGGGGGGGAAACTCTGCAGGTCAAGACTCTCTACCCCTAAGGAGAGGGACATTCTTTCAAGGGCATGAAAGAGGCCATGTATGTCAAAACATACTATCCTTATCTGGGATGGGGCCTTCAACACCATATGGCACCCACCTTTTAACATATTTACCCCTTTGCCATAAATTCACATCTTCAGCCCTGATTCTAGAACAATCAACACGTCCCACACATTGTGGCATCCTGGCAATTGGATGTAAATTAGAACAAGGTCTCATAAACGTTCAAACCCCCACTATGTTTTAATGTGAACCATCAACATTTGCCTTGACACAGTTCATAAGAACATGGTGGATTACAGTGTTTGAGTTACCCATGTGACTATAGGTTCTGGGGCATGTTACTGACACTCATTAGAACTAAGGAAGCCACTTGGATGAGTGTTACAGCATCTAATTGCATGTGACTACCTACTACTAGCTGTCCCTGTGCTACTTCTGCACCACCCGTACCTAAAATAAGTGTTACCAGCATCTGTCACATCCAATTTTATCTCCAAATATAGTACATTTTTTTTATATGTTCTTAGTAATACATTGCAATGCATAATTAAATACTCTGAGTTGTTTTTTTTTCTTACTCTTTCTTTTTCTTCTTGTAGTACACTGGGGAATGAAAATGGACCAGAGTGCTATGAACTGCAGGTGTGTGTGAAAGATTACTGCTTTGCACGTGAAGACCGAACAGTGGGTACAGCTGTTATGCAGCTGAGAGATCTAGCACAAAGAGGTAGCTGTGCTTGCTGGCTGCCACTTGGACGTCGTATTCATATGGATGAGACAGGACTGACTATACTAAGAATTTTGTCACAGCGCAACAATGATGAGGTGGCCAAAGAATTTGTCAAACTCAAATCTGACACTCGCTCTCCTGAAGAGGGCAGCTAGGGTCCATCCTTTCAATAACAAGATTACCCTTTCTACTGCCTTGCATCCCAGGCCCAGATTGTAGATAGTTTAAATATTTAAAAAAATATACATTTTAAAACACATTTAACCAAGTCACTGTCAGCAGTGCTTGCCAAGCTCTGCATAATGCTCATCTGCCTTTCTGGCAGTGACATGGGTAAGGTGTACACAAATACACACCACCAAGGGCTGCGTTTATATGTGCCATTGTGTTAATGTTCTCCCCGCTGGACTACATAAGCACAGTTGTAAGGGGGCCTTAACTCATGTCCTGCATCAAACTGCTGGGCAGTTAACTGCACCCCAGCAGTGGGAGGATTAGCAGTTTGAGAAACCATGTGTCCCTAAAAAAGGGGGGTACAGAAGTCACTATCCCTTTCCTGACCTTTCCGTTTAAGTTGCCTGCACCTCACCTGCTGTGTATATAGGATCTTCCTGTACCAGTGTCTTATTCTGTGCATTGGTGCTGCATGGGTATTAGTTTTCTTTGAAACAACTACCCTAAACCTTTATCCACAAAGCTCTTGGTAAACCCTTTTCACCTCATGCCTGTTTTAAAGCCTTGGACTGCAAAAAGGACACTGCCAACTGCTCAGCACCTCTATCCTTTCCTTAAAATGCCCATAATAATTCAGCACTGAAACAGGCTTACAAGTCCCAGATTCTGATCAGGACAGGAAGGGCAAAACATCGTAATCTCCCACTACATACTGCACAAGGGGTTGAAACTCCCATACGATTAGAAAAAATGTGGCATGCTGTTTGGAAGGAAAAATGCTGATGATATCCCTTTGCCTCTGACTCGCCCATTGTGTACAGAATATTCCTCCTCCTTTTCCTTCCTCCTGGGTGCATGTGAAAATGTTTTGCACTAACTTGGACATTTTTGGTCTCTGTAAAAATATTTTATTATAACAGCCATTAAATAGAAATAAAGAAATGAATGTGCATTTGATGTTTTAAGTTTTCATCCAAAGTGTACGTCAGCAGCAAGGAAGAGTGGAACGTTTGCCCATGACAACCAGTCAGATTTCTAATTTTATTTTCCAGTAACATTTATTTTTATCATATAATAAAAAGAATAATAACTAGCAGTGTGCCCATTCCTTTAAGCTGATTCAGAAAGGTTTGGTTTATATAATTGTAAGGGCCCATTCACACTATTGCGCTGCAGTAGCACATACACGTTAAAGCACATTATGCCGTTCATTGGAATGGGCTGCTTAATACACAAAAAATGTATGTAGCATTTTTGGCAGTACACTGCAAAGCATGTTAGTGTATTATTATGTGTGCACTGCAAATCACGTACGTTAGCAAGGTGCCATTCTGAATGAATGGCACTGCATTGCATGAATATGTGTAAAGCGAATACGACAGCGCAATAGTGTGATTGAGCCCTTAGGTGTAAACAATGTTTTGAGCAAGGCTTCAGAAACATGGGGAATAACAATGTAAGACTCTTTCTGCGCCAAAGTCACACATTCACCTTTGATGAACCATGTGGTATGGCTCTAGTTGGGCTTTGAAAACATGAAGGGTGTTTAAATATTCAATGTGGCTAACTAGACAGACACATAGTCACCCTAGCACTTAGCTCATCAAAGATGACTGTGTGGTGCAGTGTTAAAGTTACCATGATACCGCCTATATTTCCAAAGCCTGACCGTTAGAATGTTCTTTGCAACATGGCTCCATCTTCTTGTAGTCCTCTCTGTGTTATTACTAAATTTGTGTAACCTGTGCATACTGCCACCCTCTTTGAAAGGTCTGAATGCTGCCATATTAGAAAACGTTATTATGGCCAATTTATGCATGGCATTACTATTTAGATATTGACAGAACATTCTAAGTTAGCAAACATCTCATAATAGCATGCACCCTTATTTGCCTACATTGATAGTTTCCTATTGTTTGCCTACCAAAATGGTGTTTAACTGTAGTCTCTATGCTGTACACAATTTTCGTGGCATTTGCTATATCCTTCAAACACTGTGTACAATGCATGAGTTGCATATGCTCTGTTTTGTGTATGTAAGTTGCGTGCTATGTTTGCTGTTTGCACTTTCTGATGTATCTATGCCCTTGTGCTTGCGTACATTCTATGCTGTGTATTCTATATGCACTTTGTGCTATGTGCTGGATATGGTGTGTGGACCATGACTGCTCTGTGCGTGTTATGTGCGCCATTTGTGTTCTGTGCTCAGTGTGTTCTCTGTGCTGTGTACTGAGAATAGGCTTATTCCCATCCTTCCAATTTTCTGTGAGAGGACTCCAATGGGGAACAAGAAGTGACATATTTTAAAGAATACTGTAGGGAAAAAATAATTAACCATAATAATAATTGTTCTGCATGCTTAACTTTAAATGCAACCCTACCATATATTGTCTTTGGCTAAAACCATTTTAATGGCAATGTACAGTTGGAGCAGATACCTTCATTAGCAGCCCAGATATGGTATGGATAGAGACATCGGAGATAGACTGGGCAGCTAATGGAGACTCATAGGAATCAGGCTGGGCAGTGGATGGAGACTCATCTGATCCATGCTGGACAGAGGACAGAAACTCATCAGAGTCAGGCTGGGCAGTGAATGTAGACTCATCAGATATAAGCTAGGCAGTATTTGGCAGTATCAGACTAAGGCGGGTCAGCAGAGAGAGATTCATTGTAGAAAAACGGGACAGTAGAGATTCTATGGAGTCTGGCTTGGCAGCGGACAAAATGTTATTTGACGGATGCCTGGTGAACCACAGGAAGCTAGAGTAAAGGCCCACCCTAAAGTGACTACAAAATAAATTGGCAGTGTCATACATGGGGAAATAGGCATGATTTGTCAGCTGTGTCTTATAATAAGTCCATATTCAAAAGCAGTGAAAGTTTGAGGAAATTTTTTTATCACAACGTTTTTTCTCAATTTTTTAAACGCAAACAATTAAAATGGCTTACCCTAACTGTGTGCAGTCTCTGTTGATCTCTACAAAAAGACTTTTGTGGACTGCTTGCATGTAACAAGACTATTCAGGACTGTTCACAGACACACCATTATTCTCCCAATGACACAGAATCTGTTCTGTAGACACTCATTTCCCTTAGTTGATATAATAACTTAATTGTCCTATTCCCTGGTACCTTGAGAAAGTGCGAAAAAAACAATAATTGGTATTTGGAATCTTTTATCTGTGCCTTTTTTAATGTTAAGTTGATTTAATAAAAGTGCAGTGGAACAGGTCAGAGAATGTGGTATCCTCCTTTTCTTCTTATTTATATATATTACCCTTTGCTTTGGCTGTCGTTGGGAGGAAAAAATACACTCTTACACCTGCGGTCAGTGACTACTGACCACCAGTGTAAAGAAGTATTAATTCCTTCCACCACCACCGATATATAAAGGCATTCCTCTCACTGATGAACAATTTAAGGGGCTTCTACTTTTAAAGCAAGCTCCAATATTTTGGTGGTTGGTAAAAGAATTCCCCTCTACCTGACGTGGAGCTCCTAGTCCTGCACCGCTGCCTCTGGCTGATATGTGAGATAAGTGCTGGAACCATGCAGGCACCTTTGGGTGGAAGATTTTCACCCATGATGGCCTCCAGATTACTGAGTGTTTCAAATGCTGAACAGATGCCTGGGCCTTGCAACACCCTTGGTTTCAAGATAGGAGCTGGTTGCAGGATGCTCCAGACCTCCAGTCTGCTGGGGCAGTCCAACTCTGGAATGGAGTCAGAATTGGCAGTGGACAGGATCTTGGCACAGATTTATCAGATTCAGGCAGGGCAAAGGACATGAGGTTGACAGATTTAGGCAGGACAATGGTCAGGAGGTCAATAGAGTCAGGCAGGGCAGCTGACAGGATATCAGTAGAGGCACTTGGAACTTATTTCTGGAACTTGACAATTGGTAAAGTCTTAAGGCTAACAAGGTGGCTTACAGCAGTCATTGGAGTTATCTGTATTTGTGGCTAGAGCAGATCAAGTTAGCAAAATCTCTGATGAGGGTCAAACAAAGCCTTTAAAAAACAAAAAGAGTTGTTTTTTTTGAAGATATGTGTAAGAATTTTTTTTTTTAAAGCCCCTTTTGAAAGGTCTCTCTGGATATAACTGAAGACACCAAAGAAATGTCAAGACAGCTGTTGCAGGAACCATGACTGAAGGAGATTGCTTTGCTGATACAGTGTGAAAATAATTCAAACAAATGTCTTTTTATAGCTTGCAGGTCAGAAATTAGTCCAATCGATCTGATGAATTCCAGGGGTTACTCATCAATGGCATCATCAGCAAACGACCTGATCATCAGAAACAATGTATTTGAACTGATCACATGCAGTAACAAATTGCAAAGAAAATTGAAAATTCACTTCAATTATCAAATTTATGTTAAAAGAAAATCCCTGTTTAAGTAATTCATCTTCATATGACTGGATAATTGAAGTGAAAATTCACAAAATCCTTTAGTAAATCAGCACTAGAATGCCAATACATGAAGGAAATTACAGTGTTAGACGTGCAATATGATTGACAGCAACTTTTACTCACACCTTAAATTCAGACCCTTAACAGTCTATGTATGAAAACATGTAATTTGGAGAGCCATATTCTCAACTTTTGTTTTCCAGGATTCCTCCATCAGGGTGGTGTTTTTTTTTTTAATCAGATATTTTGTATTGCAACAACGTTTTCCTTTAAGAAAAATGTGTGTACATACAAACAACTGCACAACAACAAGCCGCATAAAACAAAACATTTACACTTACAAAAGAATAAGTGCATGGTGTCTAAAGTAGGTATTGACCTCCCCAATCCACATCTTCACCCTGAGGCATGCCACAAGTTTCTAAGCCAGGAATCCAAGTTGGCTAATTGCAAGACTAAGAAGATGAATGTCATCCAAAATGTCCAAAAGAACCCCAACACACAAGTTAAGGGTGCATTATCAATTTGCTTATTAAAGATGGTGTTTAAGGCTATCAATCTTCCACCAATATCGGAACAATTTTGGGCAGCTCTACAACATGTGCACCAATCCCATGTCTCCATTACATTTGGGACATAATGAAGTGTCCATGCAGTCAAATCTACTTAGCCATTGAAGGGTCCTATATACCTTGTATGTGATAAATAATTGTGTGAGTCTCCTGGCAGAAGAGAGTAAGAAACTGTTTGGAACATAAAAGTTCCACTGGTCCTCTGAAATTTGGCCCAAAGCTTGCTCCTAAATAGATTTCCAGAGTAGTTCAGGGTGGTTGCTTTAAATCTTTTCCAACATATACTGAATATTACTCAGATTAAACTAAAAATGGCTAATAACACTAGGTGACTGTATCATGACTGCAGTACAGTTTCTCAGAGCAAGTGATATAAGCATGAAAAGTACACTTGAAAGGGGCCATCTAACAAAATACCACAACTGATCATAATATTAAAACATACACTGTCATTGTTTTTCTAATGATACTTTCAGATGTTTTATAAACCCATAAACTAGCACGTTCTCCACTGGAAACCACTTGCATAATGGTTTAAGTGATGTAAGTGTACTATGTATCTTTAATCTCTGGCAGTACAGGGAGGTATGAGCACAGTTCAGCATTTATTGGGGAAACCAGAAAGATATCTCAGGAGAAAGGTTTCTACTGAAATGTACTGGGTTTGTATTTAAAAAAAAGAACACTTTCTGGTTTGATGGACAACATTACTGACAATGGGCTTTAAGCTCATTTAATCAATGGGACAGATTTGGAATTAGTGGTTTGAAAAAGGTACAGAGCTGATTGGCTTTTCAAGGATGGGGTACTAAAAAATTATTGGATATGTTACTGCCCTCCCTTAGCAATGCAACCTGAAATTTAGAAAGATATATTTAAAGAGCAAATAACATTTCTGAACTGAAGGATAGTGTGAACAGTTGACAAAGGCCCAAAGAGATATTATCTGAACTCC